AGTGTACACACGTTTCATCTGCAGCCCCGGTGCTGTGGGGCACACCCTTCCTGTCTAAGACAAGGCTTGCTCACCCGCACTGATAAAAATACACCCGCAAGGAGGACAAGAAAAGATAACACTGTGACTCTCTGCCTCTCCTAGCCGCAGGTGCTTGTCTCGCAGCAGCAGGCGAGTTCATGGGGTTTATAGCAGCAATGTCTTCATATACACACAGATCGCTGCTGCTGCTGCTGCTGTTGTGGGAAAATCTCAAACTTTAATAATAGAAAAAGATTTAATATTTGAAATTAATATTCATGCACATGATATACACAAAGAAACAGGACAAACACGACTGAGTCCGAACTTTTCTATCATAACACGAGAGCAGGTAAATGGGATAGAAACAGAAAAGCAGGATTTTGGCTTTCTCGGCCTGTGAAAGAACATCTTATGGGATCAACTTTTCTTGAAAGAGAATTTCACTGCAGCAGCTTGAAACTTTAAAAACAATAAAGCAGCAGCACAAAGCTTGTGATACATCGCCCACAATGTTAATTACTTGAGAAATATCCCATAACTAAAATTTAATTTCATATCATCCGAATTGAAGATTTACATGATCAGACCTTAGCTGGTGCATCTCTGTGGCTGTGAACGATGCTGATCACCTGGATTATGTCTTACACTGAACATTCTGACGACCTGTCTGCTGATATCTGAATCCTCTCTACGGCGTGAAAAACATCCATTCGCCACTGCTTACACATCAAAAATCAAACAGCACACCTCCCGTATTCACTGTTTCTGAGAAAATGACGGAAGCTGCTACTTGTAACAATAAATAAATGTGACAGCCGTGTGATATCCGTAAATGTGAGAGTGTGTGTTTGCATGCGAAACAAACCTCTGCTGTTACCGCTATAGCGAGAGCTTGTATACGTGCTTGTTTGCTCGTGTCCTAAAGCCCCCGAGCCAACCACCTTCTGCTCGGCCTTTAGAGGCAGGCAGCCTTGTCGCAAAGAACCAAATAATTATATGTTGGTGTGCAGCCGTCTGTCAGCCGCGGTGGTAAGACCATCATGTCAGTGCAAGAGATGAAGTCAGCTCCCACTTAAATACGACAGACGGTTAATGTCGCACTAAAACTGCAGCAGCATGTGTGTGTGTGTGTGCATGTGTGAGTTTGTGTGGATAAAGAGGTTGGTGCGGCTCCGTTCTTGTGTTTGCACAGCACACACACTAAACCATCATGACAATTATGTACTTCCATGCATGATGAATTAGATGCACTGGCTAAAATATCAGTAATATACTGAAATAAAAGGAATTTAACTGCAAAAAATGTAATTCCATTGAATTAAAATGACATGTCACGTTGCGAGGTATTGTGTGCACCCACAGTTACAATGTGCCTGTGCTTGTGTATTTATATCCAGTAGAGTATAGGTCTGCGGCAGATGCCATAATCTCCTTGCAGTCATACATTAGGATGAGATTATGAAGGCTATAAAGTGGTAAGAGCAGTTTGTCACTTTGGTGTATTGCCACTTGTGTGCACGCACGCACACAACGTATACTACGGCCTGAGGACTATATAGGGAGGCACCCGGCAATCCATTTCTGCAGATTAAGCACAGAGGTGCGGTAGCTCAAATGTAAATGTGATGTGGAAAATGGAGACTTCATCAGGTATAGAGAGAGAGAGAGATAAGGTGGGGGGGGCATAAAAGAGGGAGGGAGAGCTAGAATATAAAAAGACGATGGGACCAAGGGAAAAAAAAGAGACAGAAAAGGGGGAATAGAGCAGCAGGATGAACAATGCAATTTTAGAATTGAGAACAAGAATAAAAGTGAATGGCATTTTCTTTGCCAGATAATTGGGACAGGTACTGTCTCCTCTGTCATTCCCTGTTGCCCCCCCCCAACCACCGCCCAGCCCCCTCTTTCACTGTCGACCTTCATCTGTCTTCATCTCCTGTTACTCCCCTTCAAAATTCTCCTCACTCGCTTCCAATGTAACGCCAAAACAGAAACTTTTGATTTTTCATTAAAAATGTTTGGACTTCATTAAAGTGTTGGCACGTTGTATCTCTGTGTGTGTGCGTGTTTGTGTGTTGACACAGTTTGTGCTCAAGTGTTTACTGTTTGTCGACCAGTGGCTGAGGATGTTTTTAATCTCAACAGACTGCAAGTGGTCATGCTTGTCCCACCCGCTCAGCTGGGAAAGCAATGTTCCGTGAGTGTGTGTGTGTGTGTGTTTTACAAGACAAGAGAGGTGTTATAAAAAAGCTGCTGAGTCACTTTTCTCTTCACATACATGTTATTAATGATTGAATGATAGTATGATTTACACATCATACCCACAGTTCACTAACAAAACATTCAACTATCCAGTAGCATCTCAAGTACAGCTGCTGCGCTCATTAATTACACAATATATAATCAATGCATGTGCTCGCAAGTCTTTATGCAGATGTGTCCATCTGCATCTAGACACGCGCGCACACACACACATATATTCTTATGTGCATCCATCCATGTGTGAGTGTCTGACTGAAATCAGAGTTTGTCCATTTGTGTGATTATTACAATTGCTTTCCCTCAATGCATCACACTTGTGAGTAGCGTGGCTGTGCCACTGCGAATACTGATGGACAGCCGGCAAGACCATTTGGCGTTCTGTTCCCTCGTGAGTTCAAGTCGCATTTAGATTCAGTAAAATCCCTAAAAAGGACAAAACACTCTGACATACACGAAAAAGTTGATTCATTAGAAATTAATACAGCACATTTTCTTCAACCTGTAATTTCATAACTTTATAGAGATTGATTTTGTTTTTAATTCCATGCATTCTCTTTTCAAAAAACATAAATAAGACAAAAGAGACAAAATCATTTGTAATCTATTTACTGCACAATGACTCGCCTTTAAACGGATCCTGTTTGTTTATGAGCGCCTCCCTCCTCGCCGGAGATATTTCCCACCAACCAATCTTCCAACTGTTCAGCATTAAGCAGTCATGCTCTCCAACTGTTGACTAATAGCCATTTTCTAAATAAATAATTTGTATAAATAATTTCTTCTGTGCGAACGGTGTAAATCACTGTTCCAAATGACATGACTCCACCCTGAGAGTGTAATTCATGCTAAAACCAGATTTAAGCCTGTTTAATGCTCTAATGAAAAGTGCTGTATTTATATGTGGCTGGTAGTCAGCAGTGTTGTGACATCAGGCCCATCTGTGACTCAGTCAAAACCCCTAATGAGAACATTACACACACACACACACACACACACACACACACACACACACACCAATAACACACAGCAAAATGCAATATTCACATAAAGACATGCTCTGACA